AGTTTGTGTTCTTAACTAATTTAGTATGATCATTGTGTGTTCTTGTTGTGTTGTATATGAGTGTTTTTGTCACTCACAAGTTACTCACAACACTCTTGCCCCTCTCACACGCCGCTCACAACACTCTTGCCCCTCTCACACGCCGCTCACAACACCCTTGCCCCTCTCACACGCCGCTCACAACACCCTTGCCCCTCTCACACGCCGCTCACAACACTCTTGCCCCTCTCACACGCCGCTCACAACACTCTTGCCCCTCTCACACGCCGCTCACAACACCCTTGTCACTCTGGTTTCATTCGACATTGTTCACACTGCCCAAACGTTACTCATTTTTTTTATTCAAATGTCATTCAACTTTTCTGTGATTCATCTGCTACTCACATGTCAATACCCTCGCACTCACCTGTCACGCCCTGTACTCACCTGTCACGCCCTGTACTCACCTGTCACGCCCTGTACTCACCTGTCACGCCCTGTACTCACCTGTCACGCCCTGTACTCATCTGTCACTCAGCTAATCACTTAAAAATGACTAATCAAGTTTTTTTTAACTGTTTCTCACCTGGTATTCACCTGTCACTCGCTCTTCAGTCTCTGCTTGCCTGTCACTCACGTGTCACATGTTACTCTTTTTTACACTCATTTACTCATTGCTGACCTGTCACGCTTGACACTGTTGTCACTCATTAATCACTCAACGATCTCAATTATGGTGAGTTCTGTTACGCTTAATTTTAATCGGCTACGAGTTACCTGTCACTCAGCCACCTTTCACTCATCTGTCCCGCAACATCGTCCATCACTCATCACCTCTCGTGCAAATCTCCCGTTACTCGGTCACTCCGCCTGTTACTCATCACGCTGGCAGTCTGTCACTCACCGGAAGTGCCTAGTGTGGTGGGGGTCACCACTTGATAATTTCACTTAACTTTACAGATATCATTAGTAGTGGAAATTTAGACATTTCTGGAAACTTTACAGATATCATTAGTAGTGGAAATTTGGAACTTTCCGGAAACTTTACAGATATCATTAGTAGTGGAAATTTGGAACTTTCCGGAAACTTTACAGATATCATTAGTAGTGGAAATTTGGAACTTTCCGGAAACTTTTCAGATATCATTAGTAGTGGAAATTTGGAACTTTCCGGAAACTTTACAGATATCATTAGTAGTGGAAATTTGGAACTTTCCGGAAACTTTTCAGATATCATTAGTAGTGGAAATTTGGACATTTCCAGAACATGAATTTTTGTGGTCAGTTTCACATTTTTCACATGAGCAATATAATGCGGTATTCACAAACACCTCAACCTTGTCCTGCCAGCCGCGGCTACACACATTGAAATATTAACACCCAGGCTGTTGTGGATCGCATCTTGTATGTGTTGTTAGCTTGTGGGAGTGGAGGGGTAAGTGCTTATAATGGCCGGTCGTGTAATGATCCCAAGGGACCACTAACGAGCTTCACTTAACGAGCTTCACTTAACGAGCCGGCAGTCACAACACTGGCAGCAGTTAGTGTTCAGGTCATAATTACCATAAATATTCCATTTCCACTCTCTTCCTGCCTGCTTGTAGTGGGGCCCTGTTTCTTAAATGGCGGACGAGGCTCTCCCTCATTACCCCTCCCTCACCCACTCCTTGTAAACCATGTACCTCCCAAAATGGATATCTTAATGTATAGACGAAATGAATTATCGTAAAAACCGGTCATGTATAGAGTGCATAATTCACAGGAGCAAGTGGGTAG